ACCACGGACAACAGAACCAATTACCGCGTGGTGCGGTGTAATCATGTGCTAATCATTCCCTGGACATTGTTTACGCGTGGTGACTATTGGATTTAAATATGTAGACTATAGTCCTGGCCTTTGTGGCTCAGTTCGTTGAGCATCATTCTGTGTACCAAAAAGTTGCTGCTTCAATTCTTGACCAAGGCACATACCTAGCTTGTGGGTTAAGTCCTGGTTGGGGTGGGTACAGGAGTCAAACAGTTGATGTTGATGTTGCTCTCTCTTCCTTCCGCTCTTTATAAACAATCAATAAAAAAATATTTTTAAAAAAGGAGGAAAAATATGTTTCCGAACCAAAAATCTAAATTGTCCAACAAAGGCCAAGAAAACAACCCCATAGGTCATAAGAGATCAATCTTAAAGAGTCAGGTAGCTTTTGCCTTAAGGTGATATATAATCTTTTCTACCTTAGCTGTTTCATTGAGCCAAATACAGCAAGTAGTATTATCAGTAAGTAGCACAAATACTACCATGACTAGTGAATATGAAATGTAGATTGTTCATCACTGTTTTTGCCAAGGCATTGAGACTGATCTATATTTCATGTAGGGTAGAAGTAGTATTATTTATTAGTTCTGTCAGAGTTAAAATGATACATGTCTTTACATATTTCGTTTGTATGATGCCTATTATTGGAAACTAGGGCCCAGTGCATGGATTCGTGCACCTTGAAAGGAACTGTGGGCTGTGAAGCTGCGGTAGGCACAAGAACGGGTCTTGGCCCATCCTCCATGTCATGGCCCTCGGTACCCCGACTGTCGGCAGCCCCACTCCCGCCGCCGCCACTCCCATGTGCTGACAGCGCTGGCCCCGCTTGCACCTGCTGATGATGTGGAACGATTGGGGCTGGCACCAGCAGTGGGTGTGAGCCGTGGCTGCTGCTCTGATCGCCCCTCAGGAGCAGGGGTAGGAGGAGAAGCCCTGAGGGGCGATCAGGGCCAGCAGCTGCCAAGCTGGTGCTCACTGACAGTGCCGAGCCAACGGGGCCAGTGCCGGGTACGAGCGGCAGTCTCTGTTGCTGGCAGCAGGGTGTGAGTGGGGGCGGGCACCAGCAGCAGGTGCAAGTGCCAGGTGGGACCGTGGCATGCAGCAGCAAAGAATTTTCAGTGACCACCAGAGTCTCGCCCTGATGACAGTGACTGGCACCCTGACTTGGTCTGGTGCCCCCGTTCACCTGCTCCACCATCACGCCATGGCCGACAACTGCCATCTTCTGCGTGTGCCCCCTGGTGGTCAGAGCATGTCATAGCGAGCGGTTGTTCCGCCGTTCGGTCTATTTGCGTATTAGGGCTTTATATATATAGTTACTGCTTTATTTGTATAAACAATGAAACAGTAACTCCCCCAGGTAAAGTGCCTGAATAATCAAGGGTAGCCTCATTTGGAGCTCATGTCTGAATTACAATTTCCAGTTTGATGATTTATAGAATTAGGGTGCCTATATACAGATAAGTTTTGCAATACTATTCCTAAAGTGCATGAGTTATTAATATGAGGAAAGTGACCCTAGCCATGCTGGTTGCAAAGGAAATCCAGTAGTATCTGGTAGGAACACACAGGTACCCAGGGGAAAAGGAGTTATTCATGGCATGGCCTTACATTAGCTGAATAATCTGAGATTGGTGGTAGACTGATTACGCTCCAATCTAGAACAGAAGAGGAAAAGGGGCCATCATGGGTGGGCAGCAACCAGGAGTCTACAGAAAATGAGAATAATAATTGTAAGTAAGTAGATGAAAAACAAAATAGGAATTAGTAGGGGTTTTGATCCACCATCTTGGGCAGAAACTGTCCACTATCTGAGGTCATTGGATTGTTCTAAAGAATCCTGTTTGAGGTCCCCTATTATAATAGGCTTCTTGTTTTGTTGATTCTGGATTGCTTCTTTAGTTGTGAAATGTGAATCTAAGGGTTTACTCCAGAGAGTTTTACTTCTGTATTAGTAGTTTATAGTATTTGATAAAATCCCTTCCATGAAGTTCAAGAGCATTTTTTTTCAGATGTATCTTCCAATGGACAAAATAGATAGTTGAATATTATGAAGAGGCTATAAGAAGATGTTTTGAATGTGACCTTAACCTCTTGGTGATAGGACTGAGTATGATACATGTGTCTCATGTAGTATTTTACAAGGTGTGATACAGAGAGTAGAGCTCAGTATCAGGTAAAATCCTGGAGCACATTGGCCCTCCAGTTACCAGTTCATAGGGAAGTAAACAATGTGTCCTCAGGGAGTGGACCATACTGACATAAGGGTGAGTGGGACTACCTTTGCCCACAGAAGCTCAAGGGTTTCTGAACGTTCTGTTGAATTCATTTAAGAATGTAATTGACTCCACCTTTCCATGGTTTCTGAGTAAGGGGTTCTTTTATGTTTCTTGGGAAGTGTGTACCTTGGGTACTTGATATAAAAGTTTGTAATCCCAATATTGAAAACAAAAAGGCAACTTTTTAGCAACTATAAAGACTGTAGCTTTTTGCCAAAGAGATGTTTCAACCCATCCTGAAAATAAACATATAATTACTAGTAAAACATTAAAATCTTGTGGAGTGTGAAAGCTGCATAAAATTCATGCAGTATTCAAAGAGCCCTTGAAGATTTTGTTCCTGGCCATATCCCATCTTATAGTTTTTCTAGAATTGTGCTGTTGACAAAAGAAAACATGATTAAATGACCTCTACTGTCTTTGAAAGTTTACCCAGTCATGTTGATTTCACACAGTAAGCAATTTATCTGTATCATGATGAGTAGTTTCATGGAGAAATTTAGCTACTATCCATTTGAAACCAAGTAATCTCACCCAACAGCTATCTTCATCAGAGATTATCTGAGTGAAGCTAGAACTATATATTTTTTCTAGAATTAGGGGCTGGCTGTTGATATTAATAATAGTTTCTTTGAATTCCTTTAAGTATTTATCCTCAAAGAGTTCAGATAGCATGATAACTATGGTTAAGGTTGCTTGTTTGGCAGAATGATCTGCTAGAGTATTTCCTTGAGCTTCATCATTATTTATTTTTTCATGAGCCCTAGCTTTTATAATAGCTGCATCTTTATGAAATAAGAGTGTATCTAAACATGTCTTAAACAGCTTGTTCACTTTTTTTGTTGTTGTTAATATTCACCCCAGCGTATTTTTCCATTGATTTTTAAGAAAGTGGAAGGGAGGGGGAGAGACAGAGAGAGAGAGAAACATCGATGTGAGAGAGAGACATTCATTGGCTACCCACCGCATGTACCCTGACTAGGGCCAGGGATCGAGCCTGCAACCGAGGTATGTGTCCTTGACCAGAATTAAACCTGGGACCCTTCAGTTCTTGGGCTGATGCTCTATCCACTGAGCCAAACTGGCTAGGACGCTTGTTCACTTTTGATAGGATTTTCAGCAGAGTTGAGAACACCTTTGTTTCCAAAGCATCCCAAGTCATATTTAAAATATATATATATATATTCACTCTGTGGTCTTTGGCTAGTGGACAAGCTTAAGTAAGTGCAATAACACAAAGGATTGTATTCTAAAGGCAAGCTTAAGTTGGTGGTAGCATATTCCATTCCAGTTTCAAGTTTTGATATATCAACGAATAATATTAGGTCAAATTTTGATGTATGATCTATCAACGAATAATATTGGGTCAAGTTTTCAGTTATTAAAAAACCTAAGTGAGGCAGGCACATTTTCTAACTGAGGTAAGAAAATTGTGAGGTTCCTTGTTCTGGTAGGATCAGGGTGTTGCAGTGGTGAAGGGTGATGTGAGGGGGTGTTAACACATTCTCATGAGAGGTTAATTAGCTGGAGAAACGTGCTGTATGTTCTCAGGCAATAGAATGTCTGCATTGCATGAGTAACCTTGAGATCAAGAGGGGAGCTTATAGCTGGTTAAGCAGAATTTTGAAGTGGCAGCTATTTCCCTAAAACAGGGAAATAAGCCTTTGCAACCAGGTCAAGGAGATGCGTTTTTGATGACTCCCATGAAGTTGAGTTAAAACCTAAAGTATTTGTCCAGATTGCTCATGTAGATGGAAGGATTTTCAGTTGGGGAAGCCTATGGAAGGATCCTAGTGACAAGCCTTCTTCAGATTACAGAAGGTTGGTTCATGACTTGGACTAAGAGTCATTATAATCTCAGGAAAATTTGTTTGCATTATCCAGCTAAGCCTAGAACTCTCAGTTGTTTTGTAAGAGCTCTGCAATGTTTGGGTTCTCCATAGCCTTATCAAAAGAGACTGACTGCTTCCTTACACAGGCTATAAACTCAGCAATGGATTATGTTTGGAAAAATTATAATTTATCTTTTGAAACTTTATGTACCTTTTTTGCTAAGTTTGAGAGCAAGTAAATGGAATACCTTTTATAAGATTCCTTGTTTTCTGAATAAAGCAGGAGAGCATGTTCTATTATATCAGGACCAAGTTACAAGGGAAACTTAGACCTTTTAAGTCTTGATTGAGAATTTGGGAAAAATAGGAAGGAACTTCAGAGAACAGTATTCTCCTCCCCAGGTGAAGACAAGAAGAAAAGGTTTAGAATGGAAAAAAAGAAAGTTTCAGATATGTTCCGGTTGGAGATTGTTGGATGAGGAAGCAGAAGGCAGGCTAATTAGAAGCAAAGAATCTTTTGTAATCAGTTGGGAACATAGCTGTCATTTTCTGGTTTGTTCTGAGTTGTAAGTAAAGACAAAAAGAAGGGAAGCTGGTAGCCATTGCCCTAGTCCTGACTATTTGGGTCCAATTGCTGCAGAGGTTGTGGTTTGGCTTCCTATAAATCTTCTCATATAATTTGTCTCTAACAACATCTAGAATGATTAAATAATAATTGATGGATGAGATAAGATTTTTGCAAAGTGGAAATGTAATGTTTTAACTTACAAACTACTTGCACACACCTGAAAACCTGGATTTCTCTCCTTAATACTATTAAAATTTAATATTTCTCTCTGAAATGTTTGTGTTGTTCCAGAGGATCTTGATGATTTAAGAATGGAGGGAGTGACTACCCTGGCACCTTCTGGGAGCAAATTTAATCAAGGCCGTGCTACTCACCCTGCTGAACTTCAGGCCAAGGTCACACTGAACATCTGTTCAAGGTGTGCCAGGTAAAACATATTATAGGTGTAGTCTATATCAATGTGATTTTGATTTTTAAAATCTAAGGTTTTGATGTAAAGCATGTACTTTGTGTAAAGAAAATTTTTTCCTCCTACTTATCTTCCGTGCTAACTGGCAAGGGAGTTTGCTGTGCCGTTGATACTGTGCCCAGTGCCACTCAGACCAACAATGAATCAAAGAGTTTAGATTGTCCTCACTTCACAGTTTGGGACTATTTTAAGTCTCAGTTTCTGAATCTCATTTGCTGTCTGCCCTTCTGTTCCCTTTCAAAGGAAGATTCAAGGGGGAAAATTCAAAGCTACTTCTAAAGCCACCTGCATTATGCACAAGTTTGCCCAGGTACAGTCTAAAATCTAATATTATTGGCCTCTTAACCTGCTCCTTATCCTTTTCACCTCCTGGAAAGAATTTAATCAGCTTGAGGCTTTTCAGTTTTGGCAGCTGGAAGCAATCTTTGCATATACTGGACGAGGCCAAAGAAGTAGCTTAAGTTACTGCCAAGTCAGCTCCCAGTGCTGGTCCGGCAGAAACTCACCAAATAGCTAGAATTCATTCTTCTGTGGGCACTAAATCTCATTTGCAAAGAGGCCTTTAAGCCTGTTTAAATGATAAAACAAGCCTTCTAACCCTTATGTAAATGGTGCAGATTAGCAAGAACAATGCACTGGCTGGCCAGTTTTATCTCCTTTCCTTTATGTCTAGCTATTCTATTGTACAGTTTGAGAGGGGATTAGCTGCTTGAAAAATAAGGAGGGGGAAAGTGTAGGAAAATCAAATCAGATTTTTGTAGCTTTTCCTCTTTTACTCCTTTGGAATTTTTGTTTTTAATTGTGCCATTGCACAGTAAATACAACAATGGAAACAATGCTTCAGACAAGTGATATTTGGTGAATTGAGTTTTTGGTTACGGCTGTGAAGAAAACTGGTAATATTTGTGTGGTGATAGTTATGTTACCATTGTAATTTGCTAGTTAATAATAATAGGAAAGGAGCAAAGGGAAGGCCAGACATTATACTAATAAACACGGCCATCTGGGCAGCTTCACCAGGAAGTTGCAATTACACAGTCCCCAGGAAACCACTGGTCCATTCCCTGCAGAGTCCTGGGGGAAGAGACTAGACAAAAGGGAAAATGGGCACATGCACAGTGAATTGGGGTGACATAGGGAAGGTACTTGCCTGTCAGTCTAATTGGAGGACAAAGATCATTGTCTAGAGGGGTGGATCCCAATGCAAGCCCACAAAAATTTGGGAATACATAATCCCCAGACAAAGGATTTCTCTCTTTTGTTCTGCTTCCTTGCACTCATCCATGTTCCCTCCCTAGCCATGTGGCCCTAGAAGCTGCATGGCCCATGGCCATGTGGATCCTACACACAATGAACTGCAGCTGGGAACATAAGCTAACCTAGCCAGATGCTGGACTGGACTGTGCAAATATGTAGCAGAAACTCTGAGCTCTGGCTTTAATTCTAGCTCTGTTGAAGATGAAATGGGACTTTTTCCTTGGCAGGATGGAGGGAGAGGGGACCTTGGAAACTCAGGGATTTAATTCCACAGAAATAACACTTGCCAGGATACCTCATCCTCCTGTGAGGGCCTCTGGAAATTCTTATTCCAGCAACACCCCAAGAAGTCCACTTCCACTGGCAATGGTGAGGAAATAGCAGTTAGGCATCCTGAGTATACAAGGCCATCTATGGAAGAGTAGTTTGGCATTTTAAATAAAAAATAAAACCTTTATTTGTACATTTGTACACATTTATACATTTACAACTTGACTTGAGAGGGGTTGCTGCAAGGTCTTTCATGTCCTTTGGAGAAGACTGGGAGATGAGATGTTAGTTTTTCAAATGGGAAAACCTATGGGAATAATATGTCTTTAAACTATTGAATTTAGAAAGGACCAAATACATACACAGCCCTAAATTATTTACCATTCATCTTCCAAGTGATAGGGTTATACTGTAAATTATAATCTGCTTTTAAGGTGGTCCTTTACTGAATTTATTGGAAAAATATTCAGTTGAGTAACTGGTTACATTTATTGCTTTCTCACTATGTACCAGATGCTATTCTAAGCACATTAAACATAAAAACTTATTTAATTCTCAAGTAATGTTGAGAGTTAGTTACTATTATTATTTTTATTTGTAGAGAGAAGAAAACTGAGGTATGAATTGATTGATTAACTTGTCTAAGAGAACACAGCCAGTAGGTAGCAATAGTTTCAAACCAAGGCAGTATAGCTTGACAGTCTCTTTGCTTAGTTGTTTTGCTGTATTGCTAAGCATCGGGCTATTCTCTGAAGTTGAAGATGGAGGCCAAAATAGCTAGAAAGAAAGATAGGGAGAGATTTAGGTGTTTGAAATGGGAGTTCATGATTGTTTTTGATGGAGCATAAAGCAATGCTGTGCTTTCAAAAGCAAGATAGAGATATATTGATTCAGGGAAATGTGGTAACCAGTATAGAAGAAGACAGTAGGCTTTTAATTTTAGAGTAGCTGCTATAGCCAGAGTTCAGAATGGAAGAAAAGCTAATATCAATTTTCAAGAACTATGAAGGACTTGAGATTTTACCCTATTTGCATCTTAACATGCTAGTCTGCCATTGTTTTATAGATGCTGGCAGAAGACATGACTCTCCTGAACCAGAAACCAGGGGATTAGTAAGCACAACAGTAACAAATATCAGCGTATTAGCATTTTCACTTTATCCCTGAGGCATAAATCTCATCGATGGACACAAATGGGGCAGTAGGTTGCAGTATATGAGAGGGACCCTGAGTTTAGGAAACATGAATATTTTATAATGGGAAGTTAGCATCGCTCTAGAGAGAGACTCCATATCTCTCTTCCAAGGCTATCTATATATATAAAAGCCTAATATGCTAAGTGTCCGACTGTTCGACCAGTCGCTATGATGCGCACTGGCCACCAGGGGGAATACGCTCCAACCAGTAGATTAGCTTGCTGCTGGGTTCCAGCCAATCGGGAGTGGGCGAGACAGGCCAGACATGCCCTGGAGCCCTCCCGTGCTCCCTCCCCGGCCCCAATCGTGCACTGGTGGGGTCCCTTGGCCTGGCATGTGCCCTCTCACAATCTGGGACCCCTTGGGAATGTCGGAGAGCCAGTTTCAGCCCGATCCCCGCAGGCCAGGCCGAGGGACCCCACTGGTGCACGAATCTGTGCACCGGGCCTCTAGTTTGTTATATAAAACATTCCTGAACAGATTGTCTGAAACAAAGGCTGTCAGTGTCTCCACTCATAAGATATGTAGAAACATGAGAGACTTGCAGAGAACTGTCCCTTGATATTAGTTAGACTACTTGGGTAATGCATTGATGTGGTTATCAGAATTTTCCAAAATTAATTCTCAAGCATCAATTTATGTTGCTGACTCACCTCTCCTAATGTAAGGCTTTTTCAGTCTGTGAGAATAATACTTTGTAAGCCAGGGCTAAGCAATTATCTGAAGCAGAAGTCATAAACTGAAGGACTATGGGTAGTGTACAGGTTTTTGCGTTCACATAACAGAAAAAGAAAATACCACTGGATTAATTACTAATTTTACATAAAAATTGGGATTTTTATCTTCTCTTTAAAAATCCATAAAGGTGATAACACTGGGCCCACATTCTCAATGATTATACACGAGCAGCTTTCCCCTCTAGAGCCATAGACCCAGTAATTCTGCCCTAGTTCATCTCAGATTGTCTGTCCATCTTCGCTCATTTACATGTACCTGTGTGGAGTCTGTGGACCCTTGTTTGTAACCCCTGATTTGTAGAAACATTGGAAGTGCAAAGATAAGCGGTGAATTAGGACTGGAGGAATGCAGATGGAGGAGCCTGGCTAGGCCCCTGGGATCAGGCTCTGCTGCCCAGAAGAGGCAGCTTGTACTGTCTCAGGTACTGGGTTATGGGCAGGGATTTATAGTAGCCAGACTGTAATCTTAGAATGACTAGGCAGTCTCTCAGAACTCAGAGTGAGTCGATCAGAAATCCATCTCTGCAAACTAGAATGACATGGAGAAAAGGATCGCTTCACTTAGAGAACTGTGCTCATTGCCATTGCTCTGGCACCAGCCTGGAAGAAACCTGTGAGAGAGAGATCATGCAGCCTTCATACCGGAAGCTGGACATTGGATCTGGAACCTGGGATCAGGATTTAATTCCAAATCTTGCTGGATTGGAGACAGTGTGGGGCAAATGGATGAGAAAATTTAGGATAATTAATGTTACCTTGTTCTTACCAAGACCTACCAAGGCTTTACAACAAAGACAACCTTTTTTTTCCTGAGGAATGACAAAGAGATCAATGTACCTTGATCTAAAGTACCTTGTGTGTCATCTTGGGAAAATTATGCAAATATTCAGAAAATCTAGTCCCTCTTTTGTGAAATGGAGTTCATGTAATCCTGGAGATAATTTCTGAGGAGGACGAAGAGCACTGGCAGGGTAATGTATGCAAAGGCAGCTAGCAAAGCATTCACAGTGCAAGGCGCTCAGGAACGGGGGTCTCCTCTCCCTCTCCCTCACTGAGACAATTACCATGTAAATACTTAAGCAGTTTAAAATGCTTTGAGCCTTGTTTTTTGCCCATCATTTTGAGAGGCACAAATAAGAGTACTCAGGTATTGAGAAAGAAGGAGCCTCATTTTCCTGACATTCGGAAACTCTCCTGCCTTAGGCTTCTGACGGGGGAGAAACTATGGTCCACCCTCCAGCATTTCCTGTGTTTAATAAAACAGCATAAGCTGGAAACATTTTTTTTGTTTGCTTGTTGTTTCGTAGAGTGTTAAGGTCAAGGGATCATTTTTCCCATAGAACTGGAGAGGTAAAATGTAATAAGTGAGTTAAATGGATGTGTTGTGATCTTGAAATAATACTATAGCCCCAAGATGCTATCAGCAACCTCAATATAGAGTCAGTGAGACTCAAATGGTGCTCAGAGTTTCTGCAAAGAACCCATCAAGTATCAAGTG